GTGGGTAAAACTTATGTGTATGTGTGGGTAAAGTGTTTTTAAACGTGGGTAATACAACTTGTTTAGTAGATAAAAGTATATTTATTTGTGGGGAAAACTTCTATGCAAGTGTAGCTATTAATATTTATGTGTTGATAAAATTATTTCAATAAATATTATATTTATTAATTAAATACGTACACATATCAAACAATTACATTTAATAGTAATGAACATTGGAATTAATAATAAATAATAATGATAAATGTCATAGTTCAAACTAAAATATTCAGTTTTAGCAAAGTACGGAGTATACAGTAAACAAATAAAACATTAACTAGCTAGTCAATATCATCATATTCAGAAGTCGAGTCCTCATAGCCGTCAACATATTGGCCTCGACCAGTACGGAATGACCCATAATTACGCAGTCCTGAACAGTGATCTAAAGTAACATGTGACATGGGAGGTATAATATTCTTCTCAATCAACAACTTTTTCATCATTTCAACAATGCCCGAAAGCTCTCCAACACAATCCAACAATTGAGTATAAATGGGGATATTTGAATCCCATCTGCTTCTGTTAGACCCAATGGGAAATCGTCCCCAACCAAACCAAATAGACGAACAAATTCCCATCCAAGCACCTTCTCTAGTATTTGTTTACCAGTTAACTCTACAGGTGGTTTTTCTCTTCTCAACTCCATCATTTCTTCCTGTTAAATTATGAATGAAATAGCAACAATTCATTAATGGGGTAAACCATAAACATCAGAATATGTAATCAGAACATGTATGTGTATCATGTCAATAATAATGTAAACCTAGTTATAATTTGAATAAAAGCGGTCATGGACTCATGGGCACCATTGAATAAAAGCTGTGAACATAAATTGCTGTAGAAATTTGCAACCAAAGAAATTGTTACTTCAGCGTCCTAATATGGGCCTTTTCATGCATCTGGTTGTCAAGATAGTTTGGTTGAGTGGATTCAGACACATGTACTTAGCAGCAATTTTACAGATGTAGAAACTCATCAGTTTCCTCAATAATGGTTCCAAAAGGATACATGTGGCTCCTTATCTATTCAATCCCCAACCATTTGATGAGAAAACGAAGAAAACTTTCAGTAACTATTACTCCGTAAATACAATATCTATCTCCTGAAGCAATAGTGGCCAATGATTGATGAACTTCTTTCATATACATTCTCGAGTAGAGATGCTTAATTATTTATTTAACAACACTTATAAATAAACAGTTTCTTAAATGAAAAAAGACAAGAATAAAAGATGCCATGATCTAACACACACTTTGTGAAGTACACTTACATATTTAGATTCGACTTCTACAGATACCCAACCACGCTTTGGATGCCAATGACGGATACGCCACGTCTCAATGTGACCAATAGGAGCATTTAACTCAACCATGTGGCTAATGTGATGACATGCTGTACTTTTAGAACCGTTTCTAGAATTCCATTTTCTTTTCTTACATGATTCAGCATTCTTCAAAGCTTTTTGCTGTGAAATAAACATGAGTAATGATTATAAATATGGACACATAGTCAACAGTAATTGAATATAACACCAGAACATGAATAATAGCTTTACAATGACACTATAATGAACAAAGGAATTGAATATTTAATGATGCATCCTGCTTTTTTTTCTCAAAATAGACTAAGACACATGGTATAGAAAATAAACTCCCATTCATTACGTTTACTACTACTAGAGTAAGCTTTAAGACTTAAATATGATTTATTAAAAAAAATCATTAACTGCAACCAAACTTTAGGCATAAAACATCACCAGATATGAAGCATCGCTCCACCAATCACACAGATATTCCCAATCTGGTTTGCTAACATCTAGATTCACTACATTACACCGAAGCCTATTATCCATTTCATCATTATCCAAATTAGTAATGTCTTTCTCATTGACATCCCCTTCTGTGTCATAGGACTCGTTATCTTCGCCATTTCCATCCGTAAGTTTCACCCCTACACGCATAAAGTCATAAAGAAGATAATGAATCAGGGTGCAAGTTAAGCATTGAGTAATTTTATTGAAGTTACTAAAGAAATAAAATATTAAGTAATGAAGCCAACTATTTTGTTGATTAAACTGTAAATACGTAATCAAGTAAACTGATTCTTAAGCTAAATGATAATTATAAATGATAATTGTAAAATGTAAACAAATAAATAACAAAGTTAAATGAAAAGTGTAAATGATAAGTTCAATTTTTAAGACAGTAAATATGAAAAAGTTGAAAATATGAAACTTTAATTTCCGGGGTAGTTTAAAAGTCTTAAATAAAAAAACAAAACAAAACACAATAAGTAACTAAAGAAGTTAGGAGGTGACATGGGATAATCACCTTGACAGAACAGCTCCTCAAGTAAGTCTTTGTCTTGACGCCTTCGACTAAGAGAGAGTTCCTGAAGTAGTTGGTTGTAAAGAATGCAAGGCGTCTAAGAAGCGAGGACCTACAGTTGTCAACTAAGAGAATGACGCTCGATTGTATACTAACAACTTTAAGGTATATGGTATTTTAGAATTTAAGAGGAAATCTTAAAAAATTGAGGCCCACGCATCATCTACGCCTTACACCCACCGCTTTTCGCCTGTACGCTTTAGCGCCTCAGCAAATGAAGGCATACGCCTTATTACTGGCCTGCAAGGCTTAAGCCTTATAGACATTTCAATACCAACCAACACCTAATTTTATGCAACTGATGAAAGATTGAGATAGACAAACTACTAATTATCGATAACTAATTAGCCAGAATTTTCTTTAAGAAAATAATAAAACAAATCTATTTGTCAAAAGAGATAAACAAATCACTCAGGTTACACAGTGTTATCACCAATGAATGTAGTATAAGCCAACTGTCTAAGAAAGTCCATATAAAATCAATCTAAATGAAGTTTAGAGAAACATGCATGATCTAAAGATTATATGTTGTTGGGCTAGACAACCTTTACCTTATATGCCTGTCACAATTTCATCTTTGTTGCACTTACAGCAACTAAAGTAGAATCTTTATACGGCAATCTGTAGTCTTGATGTTTGACTTTATTTGAAAATAATAACACTAAACATGATTGGAATCCATATTGTTTATACATGCTTATGTCGTAAAGAAGTTCTCGATCTCCGAATTAGTCATTTAGCTCTCAGAATAAAGCTTTTAAGACATCAATACATTATTGGGCCTTTAACTTGAAAATAATGTGTGCAGATTGGGATTAGTATGAAAAATAATGACTTTATGAGTAAGAATGTAAATTTTGAATACAAAATTCAAAACATTAATCGTAAACCCTAATCTGAATAAACTATATTAATTTCGTCTACCATAAAAACCAAATAGAAAAAGGTCCTGAGATGAAACCTGCTAGCGAAGTATTTTGCAAGAATGATGACAGTAGCTTTCTTCGACATAGGGCGCGCGGCAATCAAATCCAGGAAGAAAAACAGAGGGGTTCGCAATTCGATCCAGGAAGCGGCAGAGGGGAACCGCAGCTCCAGGGAAGCGACGGTGGCTGATGTATTAAGAGATTAGGGTTGCCCCCGACAACTAAAACCAAAGTTTTGAAGCATTACAATTAAAAGAGGGGGGTGACTGTTAATGGGATTTTAGGGCGGTTTACCGAGAAATCGAGGAATTAAAAGTGGGATGAAGGAACTTTCTCTTTCGAATAGATCGAGAATTTGCAGAAACTTACTCCGTAATTTGATTTCGTTTCTCTTCTCTATTCCATCTCGAGAGGAAGCGACCTACCGCTGTCTGATTATCACATAACGAAGATGATAACCGTCTACGAAATACCTGGCCACATGTATGTACTCAGGCCCAAGCTTGCGAGAAAGACGGTGAGGGTTTGTGCCTTTGTGGTACGTGTCTGACGTGTGGTTATAATAAACTACCTATTACTCACACATAAGTAAGGATGTTTTTACTTGGACTGTAATTTGCTGGTCTGGTCTGGTCTGGTCTGATCTGGTCTGGTCTGGTCTGAACTGGTCTGGTCTGGTCTGGTAAGGTCTGGTTTCTTTGTATTTTTATAACTATCCAAGTCTGGTCTGGTCTGGTCTGGTCTGAACTGGTCTGGTCTGGTCTGGACTGGTCTGGTCTGGTCTGGTCTGGGACAAATTACAGTCCAAGTAAAAACATCCTAATTGTGTGGGTAAAATAAAAAATAAAAAAATCCACCTCAGCATTTTAGATGAACACCACGTTCCTTCAAAAGCCAAAAAAATAAGAGGGAAACTTCCCTCCAAATTTTAATGTGACAAAAAAGTTTTACCCACACATAATATATGTATGTAATTGGCTAATGATTTACCTACACATAATTAAATTATGTGTAGCTAATTCCCCACACATAATATGTGTAGTTATTTTATGTGTGGGTAAATGACCTATTTTCTTGTGATCTGATCTGCTAAATGTCTGGTCACTGTGTGTTTTATAACTATGAAAGTCTGGTGTGGTCTGATCTGTTAAATGTCTTGTCACTGTGTATTTTATAACTACGAAAGTCTGATCTTGTTTGGAACTGAAAACAGTCCAAAATAAAGCATCTTAATAGTAATTAACTCTAGTTTTAGCAGTGACTTATGTTCAATTTTTCACTTAATATATCATGATATATAATTTCACTTAATATAATCATATTTGTATAAATAAGTTTTACTTAAGTAATATTTTGCCATTATTGTCAAAAAAAAGTACTAGTAATATTTTGCCAAAATCCCAATTTAATGTGACCCTCATTTCTTTTTTATGAATGGACCATTTCAATTTTTGAAAGTGAAAAAGAGGGAATTATTCAATTTTAACAAAATAATTTTAAATATTTATTCAAACTCTTGATTGTAGAATAAGAAATAAGTTTTTGTTACTTATTCAAACATTGACTTCATTCTCAATAAAGCAATTTTAGATATTTGATCATGCACAAAACATCAACTTAGGAATTAAGATATTTTTAATTGCACTAGATTTTTTTTTTTGTTTGATCTGTTTAAATTTACTATGAAAATATTTGAAGTTGTACAAATTACATACTACGTATTCGTATCTATCAGTCAAAAGAGGGATAAATAAAATAGATTTGGAAACAAATTGGAAGTGTGGTAAAAATACAATTCAGATTTGGAAATCATGGTTCGATTAATTAGGAGATCAGAGAGATGTAAGAAATAAATGCGGGATAAATGAAAGTATGTATTTTTGGAAACAAATGGCGGTCTAATTTCATTTAGGAAACAACCTGGCCCGGACACTATATATAATTCGTCGTGTGTCCAATACTTGAAGTCCAAATCAGAAAATCACAATGACGACCAGTTTCAGCATGAGAGCCTTTCCACTCCCTGACCCCGCCGTCAACGTAATCGGATTCCGCTTGCTCGTCAAAGAAACGTCGCCTGCGCCGCCGGGTGCCGCCCCAGTCGTCCGCGCCGTGAGGGACAGCCGCGTGAAAGTCCCGTTCCATCCCGGCCACGATATGTCTTCTCTGGGAAGCGCGTTTTGGTTCATCACCTCCAAATTGGCTGAAAGCTTCGGCCTGGATTCTATGGTGTGCAGCCAATGGGCGAGCTTCATGGTTCCCTTTGCTCTGTCCAACGTCCGGGACCGGACTTCCGGCGTGATCCTCTCCTACGTCATTGAGGAGAATTTCTCAGTCCCGTCACAACCGCCGCCGCCGCAGCGTGCTCTGTTTCTCGACGGAACTCTGGTTTTCGACGCCGCCGATGTCTCACGATTCCCGGCCTCCCCTGCCCCGTCTTTTCGGGCCCGGGGGAGGTCTGGGATTGAGACGAGTTATGGCCAGGATGCTCTGTTTGTGGACGGCGGTCTGGTTTTCAACGGCTTTGCCGATGACCCATATTTCCTGGCCGCCGGTCCCCCGCCTTTGCCGGCGGAAGGTATGTCGGAGAATGAGATTTCAAGCTTAAAGACGGAGGCTTTTGGTGGCGGAAAATGCGAGGCTTGTAGTATCTGCTTAAACGATTTTATCAGAGGGTCGGCGATCATATCTCTATCGCCATGTTCCCACAAATTTCACAAAAGCTGCATTGCCAAGTGGCTGAGGAGAAGAAGGACCTGTCCAATGTGCAGGACAATTGCCTTGGTTCCTTGAAACAAAACCAGAAAACATTCAATTAGTTTAACAGATTCTAATTCCAGGATTTGGTGAATCCTATTTTTTTGTAACACCTCGGCTGCTATATATATTGAACTCTAATTTGTAGTTCTGATGAGATTGTTAACTGAAATTATGATATATGTAGTATATTCTCAACGTATTTTTTTAATATGAACTGATATCCATGTTTACTTATTTTGATCGAGTATCAAACTGGTTTTGATAGTATAGTACTATGATAAAAGCAAACCGTTCTCATTTTGTCTGTAGTTTCTTTTTCACACATTTTGGAATTTGGAGTGTTTTTTTGGTAGTCCTTAAGGCGGCTATATATCACCCTTAAGCTTGTAGCAGTCATGACAAATATCAAAGACTACCTTAATCAGACAACATAAGTATGTTTGGAAGATTTAGTAGTTACTCTTAAACTATATATATATATATATATAGATACTCATGCCACTTCATTTTTTTTAGAAATTATATTGCAGCTCCATTTCTAAAAATAGCTATAGGCTATAGATAGGAAAAGATTGGGGTTTTAGTTAACACTAAATAAGTACTCACTAATTAACAGCAACACAACGTAAACTTCTCAAATATTGGAAGTTCTGTCCTAAATCATCCTTCTGTATAGTTTCTGTTTTATTTTGCAAAATCATTGTTGTCACATTGAATCACTTTCAAACCATATGTATAGAAAGTGCAAAATAAATTTCAAGCTTGGGTTGTTGTGTATTTCACAGATTGAACTTTTTTTTGGCATTTCACAGATTGAACTTAACAAAAAAGACAATATGCATGGTGCTATCAATATTTCTAGCCTGTAATGAAATGTTACTAAATAGAAGTTCTAACTATATAAAAATCACATAATATAGCATATCCCGGTGTTTAGTGTCGATCACTGTGTTATTAAGGGAGTGTTTGCAAGTTGCAACTGTTTCTGCTTACAAAAAAGCATTTTTGGAGTGATTAGGAAAAAGTGGTTAGTAGTAAAAGTTGATACTGTTTGAGAAAAAAGTGTTTTTGAAAAGTAAAAGTTGGTAGTGTTTGGAAAAATAAGTGTTTTTTGTGTAATAGAAAAGGGAAAAACACTTTTCACATGAAAGCCGAGAAAAGTAAAAATTGGTAGCGTTTGGTAAATAAGTGTTTTTTAAGCCAAAAGGCTGAGAAGTTTTTTTTTTTAGCAGTTGCAAACCAGCCTTAAGTCATCTATACTACTTTGATATTAAAAAAGTACTTTTTGCCTACAATTGAAATTTTATTAAATTCTGCTAGGCTTTTTCGGCTAAGTTTTTTTTTTCTTTAAGTAAAATTCTTGCTAAGCTTTAGAATTGGATAATGTAAGTTGCGTTCTACCCCACAATTATTATTTTCGCTTAGCTATGTTTTCTCATGACATGCATAAAACTTCTAAACACCGAAACACAATGTTCCATGCAGGGGAAAAACAAAGTTGTTCCTTAACAAGGTATAATCATTAAGTTAGAACTTGTATGCCACCCGTGCGATGCACAATGAATATTTTCTCCGTAAAATTTATTATAATGAAATGCAAAATTTATAATTAAAAAATAACTTATCATGACAATGTTAGACAGACTTATAGTTAGCCGGTTATAAGTTTGTTAGTTTGTTCTCATTTTCAGTTGACTTAGTTTAGTTATTGAGCTGAGCTTTGTAAGACCTAGCAAGTCTATAAATACTTTGTATCATCTTCTTCCACCAATAAGATCAATTTACATTTCTTCTCTTTACGTTTCTAATATGGTTTCAGAGCTTTGCTCGATCCATCAATGGTGACCACTTCAGATTCAACTTCCAATAATTCTACTGGAGCATTTCCGACTCCAGTAACCTTCACACATCCTTTTCAAGTAAAGCTAGATTCAACCAACTATCTTTTCTGGAAACATCACGCTGAATCGGTAGTTCATGCTCACAAACTGCTCCAATTTCTTGTTAAACCTGCAATTCCAGTTCATTTTCTCAATCGCGAAGATGAGAACAATGGAATCGAGAACGAAGCATACGTTAGTTGGGAACAACAAGACCAAATGCTATTCTCATGGCTTCTGGCGTCTCTATCTGAAACATTTCACGCTAGAGTTATTCATTGCAGACATTCACACCAACTATGGACTGAAATCAACAATTATTTTCACTCGCACATCCTTGCTAAAGCACGACAACTCAAATCAGAACTGTACAATACCTCTAAAGGTGATCGATCAATCTCATCCTATCTTGTTCGCATACAAAATCTTGAGGATAACCTAACTGCAATCGTAGAAACTATCTCAGCCAATGATCATGTTAATGTCATTCTGGAAGGACTCCGTGAGGAGTACGAATCCCTAGCTTCATCTATATCCTCACGAAGTGTTATAGATCTTGTATCTCTTTCGGAAGTTGAATCTCCCTTATCTGCTAAAGAAATGCATCTATAGAAACTTCGCAATTCCTCACAACAAGCCTTATTCTCTGCAAACATTCCTCGTCTGGAGACATCTTCTCAAAATACTGAGTCTGTTTCTCAAATTCCTGTAGAGAATTCTTCAGATAATGCCTCTGTACAACTTGCTCAGTTCAACAATTCTGAAAACCACTCCTATCAAGGCAGATGTCGTGGAAACTTTGGCAGAGGTCGTGGTGGTGGTCGTTCTGGTGCAAGAAATCCTGTAGTTTGCCAAGTGTGTGGCAAAAGTGGTCACCATGCCCTAATATGTTACCAATCGCTATAATACAGCATACACTGTATCCAATACATCTTCATCAAACTCATCCTACTCACAATATTCAAACATTCCTTCAATCCACATTCACAAAGGCCACCAGCATACAACATAAATTCTACCAATACAAACCATTCAGGACCACCTACACAGTTTGCCAACTGGAATCAACAACCCTGTAATCCTCTATACAACATTTCACCTCTTCCTGCATCTTACAATCATCCTGCAGCCTATAATCATCCTGCACCCAACAACCTTCACTCCAATCCTTCACCCAGTGCTGCTTGGGCTTGTGCTACTCCATCAATTCTGGGACCTACACCACAATCTCAAACCTGGTTCCCTGGTTCTTGTGCTACACACCATGTTACAACCGATCCTCTTAATCTACAGCACAATGAGACTCTTGCTTCTACTGATAACCTCTTTCACATTTCCTTCTCCATATCAATCATCCCTGCATCTTTCCCTTAATAATATTCTTCATGTTCCTTCAATTACTAAAAATCTCCTTAGTGTTAGTCAGTCTGCAAAAGACAATAATGTCTTCTTTGAATTTCATCCTTATGATTTCTTTGTCAAATCTCAGGTTTCTAAGCAAGTTTTCTTACATGGTTTCCTTGGAGAAGATGGTTTTTACAAGTTTTAGTCCATTCCTCTTCAATTAGTCCAGTCTGTTGCACCGGTCCAGTCTGTTGCACCAGTCCAGTCTGCCAGTGTTGCATCATCGCCTAGTAGTGTTCTAAAATCTTGTAATAATTCCAAATCTTGTAATGTTTCTCAAGTTTGTAATCTATGGCACTTAAAACTAGGTCATCCTCATTTTGAGGCATTGAAATCTGTTCTCCAACTATGTAATATCCCTCATATCAATAAAAATACTGTTGATTTTTGTTCAGCATGTTGCCTTGGCAAAGCTCACAGATTACCATCATCAAATTCTACCACTATTTTCAATTCACCATTTGAACTCATCTTTATTGATTTGTGGGGGCCTGCTCCTATCACCTCATTTGATGGTTATACATATTATATCTCTTTCATAGATGCATGTACCAGATACACTTGGCTCTATTTTCTTCAAAAGAAATTTGATGCCCTTCTTGCCTTCACCAACTTCTATCAATATATTCTTAATCAATTCTCTGTTTCCATCAAATATATACAATCTGATTGGGGAGGTGAGTTTAGATCCTTTACCAAATTACTTTCTGAAAAAGGAATTACTCATAGACTCATTTGCCCTCACACACATCATCAAAATGGTGTGGTTGAACGCAAACACCGCACCATTGTTGAAAAGGGACTGTCCCTTCTTGCTCACTCATCTCTCCCTCTCGAATTCTGGGATGCAACATTTGTTACTGCTATTCATCTCAGTAACAGGTCACCTTCAAAATCTCTTTCTAACTCCAGTCCTTATTTCAAGCTATATGGCTCCATTCCTGACTATTCCTTCTTAAAAGTGTTTGGATGTTCTTGCTATCCTTTCACAAGTCCATACAACAAGCATAAAATGGATTTTCATTCTGAGGAGTGTGTGTTCATAGGCTATTCCTCAAATCATAAAGGTTATAAATGCTTATCACCCTCTGGCAAGATATCTCTCTCTCAAGATGTAATCTTTCAGGAATCTAAATTTCCTTACACCACTCTCTTTTCTCCTTCATGCTCCTCAGATCAAAAATCTGCATCCACTCATTCTACTGCACCTCTAACAGTCTTTCCTCAAGTTCACTCACAATTCCTTAATCCAAGCCAATCTTCTTCAACTGATTCATCTCAATCTGATTCAACTTCAAATAAACATCCTCCTTCTTCCACTGATTCATCCAAATCAAAACCCACTTCAAATACACCTTCTTCTTCCTCAACTGATTCCTCCAAATCAGATTCTAATCATTTTGCTGCACAACCATCAACTTCTTTACATCCTGACAACCATGATGTGTCACCTCAGTCATCTGTTTCTCCTGGTGCAACCTCTACTCATAATATCTCCAATTCTTCTTCCCCTTCCACAGTCCCATTAGTTTCCCTGACTAACACTCACCCTATGAGAACTAGAGCCAAATCAGGAATAGTAAAACCTAGACTTAATCCCACCTTTCTATTAGCTCATATTGAACCTAAATCAGTGAAGCAAGCTCTCTCTTCTCCTCCTGAATGGTTTAAGGCCATGAAAGTCGAATATGATGCATTGATATCTAACAATACTTGGACCCTTGTTCCCCTACCCCCAAATAAACAAGCTAGGTGTAAATGGGTTTACAGGATTAAGGAAAATGTTGATGGTACTTTGAATAAGTACAAGACAAGATTGGTTGCCAAATGTTTTCGTCAAAGGCTTGGTTTTGACTTTGGAGAAACTTTCTCTGCAGTGTTTAAACCTATTGCCATCAGAATTTTACTCACTATTGTTGTATCTAATCATTGGCCTATCCAGCAGCTTGATGTAAACAATGTCTTTCTAAATGGAGTTATTGATGAAGAGGTATACATGGTGCAACCCCCAGGTTTTCAAGTTCAGGACACTTCATTGGTGTGTAAGCTTCATAAATCTCTATATGGCTTAAAACAAGCTCCAAGAGCTTGGTTTCTTAAGCTTACTTCACTCTTATATGTTGCTGGGTTCAAACAAAGCAGATGTGATCCATCCTTGCTTTATTTTCTGTCATCTGAAGTTCATATATACATCTTGATATATGTTGATGATATACTAGTGATTGGGAATAATCCTACTGCTATTGCTCAGCTCATTCAGAAATTAGACTCATCTTTTTCTCTTAAACATCTAGGAGATTTAGATTTCTTCTTGGGAATAGAAGCAAGCAAACTACCTGATGGTAGTCTTCATCTCTCTCAGTCCAAATACATTAGAGATCTCCTCAATTAGACATGCATGATACAATCAAAAGGAGCCAAAACTCCCATGGTCAGCACTTGCAAGGTCACTAATGAAGGCAGCAACTATCTACCCAATCCCTCACATTACAGGTCCATAGTTGGTGTTCTGCAATATGTCACTCTAACTAGGCCTGAAATTTGCTATGCTGTTAATAAAGTATGCCAATTCATGGCTGCACCACTGGAAGAACACTGGCAGGCAGTAAAGCACATACTATGCTATCTCTCAGGCACTATCACTCATGATCTTATAATCAAACCCCTTCCCTTGAAAACTATGCCTCTTTCCATCTCAACATTCTGTGATGCTAATTAGGCTTCAGACCCTACAGACAGGAAGTCAACCTCTGGCTCATGTGTCTTCCTTGGATCCAACATTATTTCCTGGTGGTCAAGGAAACTACTTTGTGTTTCAAGATCTTCCACAGAGCTAGGCAGAGTACAGAAGTCTTGCTGATACTGCAACAGAACTTCTGTGGATACAATTCCTACTGAAAGAACTCCAAGTTTCTTTTGCTATTCCTAGAGTATACTGTGACAATCTTAGTACTGTCCAGCTTGCTCACAATTCTGTCTTACACCCCAGAATTAAACATATGGAGATTGATCTCTTCTTTGTGAGAGAAAAGGTTCACCTGAAGCAACTTGAAGTGTTCCATATTCCTGCTCCACATCAGCTAGCTGATATACTGACTAAACATTTATCTGCTTCAAGATTTTTGGAACTCAAGAACAAACTTAGTGTCATTGATCTCAGTCCTTAATCACCCTAACTTTGAGGGGGGAATGTTAGACAGACTTATAGTTAGTCAGTTATAAGTTTGTTAGTTTGTTCTCATTTTCAGTTGACTTAGTTTAGTCTATTGAGCTGAGCTTTGTAAGATGTAGCAAGTCTATAAATACTTAGTATCATCTTCTTCCATCAATAAGATCAATTTACATTTCTTCTCTTTACGTTAATTTCTAATAGACAAAATGTCGATATCATAAAATCATTTTAAGAATGAAGTAACTAGTAATAATTAAAGTACACAAAATCAATTGCAATTTGCAACTAACAAGATTTCAATCCACAAGATAATGTTATACGAATTGAATAAAGTTGTACTTACTAAAACTTACCGAATTTCTTTTTCCTCCACCCTATTCTTTTAGCCACACATATTAGAGTTTAATACACCAAACTCCCTTGTGATATAAAAATTTGGCGCATCAGCTCTCTGTGATTTAAAAAATGTGTCAAACTCCCTTGTGTTATAAATTTATAATTAATAATGTGCAAAATCTCCTTTATGAACAAATTTAATCGTCAAATAAAAGAAAAATGATTAGCATTTTTGTATAATTTAGAGATTTTGATAAATCTTATTTTTATATTCAATCATTATATTAAAAAAGGTAATTTAAAATTATTAAATTTGGTTACAAAAGGGCTTTTAAGGATGAATAATTTGGTTTGACGCATTTTTTAAATCACATAAGGCTAATGCGCTAAATTTCTATTACCACGAGAGAATTTAGTGCTTTAAACCCCATATATTAGGACTCAATTGTAAATAATATTGATACGGAGTATTACTTCCGTCCGAAATTGTTTTGCAAATTCAACATTTTTTGGTCAACCAATAATAAAAGTCAATCATCCTTATCGATTCTTAACTCAAATTTTAATAATTAAAATTTACATATTCAAAAACTACATTAAAATCTCTTTAAAGTTGCAAACTTCAAATCAGAATATAATTAAAAATTGACATTCTAATTAAGAAAATAAAATGAAACTATTTGACTAAGAAAAGTCAAATTTACAAATCAATTCGGTTCACGTTGTTTACCGGTCCAGATTATACATTTTGGGCATCATTGTTATGCCCAAATTTTCGAGTTCGGTCCTGATATTTTTAATTGGGCCGTCCAAAAAGATAAAGAATCCGATTCGATAACTGCTTTTGGTTCGGGTCGGAGTCCGTTTCCGGATTCCGGTTCGGTCCCCACCCCTGCAATACTCGGCGTTTGGAGCATGCGCAATTGAGTACTAACCATTTCATTTCTTCAGCGCACCTAAAACCTCTCAAAAACCTCTTCATTTCTCCTTCACTCGTATCCAACTGCCCGAATAATGTCCCTTTCGCTCTCTTCTTCCTCATCCCTGTTCTTTCCTTTAATCCCTACTGTAAGAGATTTTAGGTTCTTATTCCTTAAATCGTGATATCTTCTCGAGTATGCATATTTTCTATGATTATTGTATTTTAATTTGCTCTCAGGAAGTTAATGGAAAGCCAAATTGCGTACCGTTTTGGAGGAGCAAGGTGAATGTAAGATTGGAGGTGAGTGCACGGGCTAAGCGAATAGTTTACGGAAGAGAGTGCAGAGAGGGGTTGCTAAGTGGAATCAACAAACTTGCTGATGCCGTTTCTATCACTATAGGGCCTAAAGGTTAAATGGGCTTTCATTTTTTTTTTTTGTGTAAGATTTCTTCAGGACTTGTTCGTGACGATGAATTCTATGCATTAATGTTGCTTTTCCTTTTAGTGTAGTTCATTGACACAGTACTGTTTTAGGACCTAGGACTCCCATACCCAAGTACAAATTATCTATCTGCAAATTATATTTTTTTCTCCTGTTTATGGGGACAAAGGAATTGGGAAAATATTCTATGTGGGAAAATGGAAATGATTGTAGTGGAAACTGGAAAGGGCTGTTCATATTACCCAGAATGGGTTAAGAGGATAGCCACCTTTGCATGTATGATTTTGAATAAAAGTTACGAGTCTAAACTTTTCAATAAAGAATCAGAATGGTTCCGTTTTAACTATAAGGTACTCTTTATGCATTAGGAGGTTGTATGTAAAATGCTCAAAATCTTTTTTTTGTCTGACTGAATGAAATACACAGGGCGGAATGTTGTCCTTTCGGAAGGGGATACTGTTAAAGTAATAAATGATGGAGTTACTATTTGTCGAGCCATTGAGCTATCTGATACAGTTGAAAATGCTGGGGCAATGCTCATTCAGGAGGTTTGGGATGTAATGTTGTGCATTGCTATTCTAATGATTGATCCATCAAATACACACTCAATTTTCTGTGGTGTAGGTTGCAAGTAAGACAAACAGTTTAGCTGGTGACGGTACAACCACTGCCATTATTTTGGCCCGCGAAATGGTTAAGGCTGGGATGCTAGCTTCTTCTTATGGTGCTAATCCTATTTCTTTGAAAAGAGGAATGAAAAGGACAGTGAATGAATTGATTGATGTTTTGAAGAGTAGTAGCTCTCCAGTAAAGGGAATAGATGATATAAAGGGTACTTTTTTGGGTGTTTGGTTTTTAAAATGAATTTATCAGTAATTTATACTTTGTTATTACTGTATGGGGAGTTAACGTTTATGTACTTTTCATTATACAGCCATTGCTTCAATATCATCTGGAAATGACGAATTCATTGGTGGCTTAATAGCAGATGCAATTGAGAAGATTGGATCTGATGGAGTGATATGTATTGAGTCTTCCACATCGACTGAAACTACAGTTATTATTGAAGAGGGAATGAAGGTACCCAATTTGATAATTGTAATCATGTGAAGTAGTAGAAGCTAGGAAGCCAACCATACTTTAGGTGCTGTTGTGCAATTGCAAAATGATCCAAGAATGATTCGGCCTTTTAAATTGTTTTATGGCTATGAATAATTGAGTAAGTCACAATCCTAAACATAATAGTAGACTGTTAGGGATTGTGTGGTTCAAGGATATTCAGAGGGGATAAGAAGAGAGGATTGATTTTTGTTTTACTAATATATCTCTATCCTTTAGTCTTAGACTCTAAGTTGTTAAATCTAGGTGGCAGACTGGCAGCTCGCCAAGTAGCGAGTATGACAGATTACTTGAGATTACGCAATGTCCTATA